ATAACATTGATAAATCAGCCCATTTAAAATTCTATTGTGCACAAGACATGTTAACAACCCCCCTTTGGGAATGGCACTACCCATGATACGGACATTACACATAACAGTTAAAGTAAAGACAAAAATAATAGTTACAACCATGACAAAGTTCAACTCATGATGATATCGTAAGAACTCAAAAATAATTTACAAACAGTCAGGCCCTCAACATACATAGACTCTCATGACTACAAAAGAGAAAGAGAGAGACAGACAGAGAGAGAGAGAGAGAGAGAGGGGGGGGGAGAGAGAGAGAGGGGGAGAGAGAGAGAGAGAGAGAGAGAGAGAGAGAGACAGACAGAGAGAGAGACAGAGAGAGAGAGACAGACAGACAGACAGACAGACAGACAGACAGACAGACAGACAGACAGACAGACAGACAGACAGACAGACAGACAGAGACACGGAGAGAGAGAGAGAAAGAGAGAGAGACAGAGAGGACGGATGGGAATGCAAAGAGATAACCATGTACTAACAAACTACAAACATTACAAAATCATTTTTCATCACATGCCCAGACCTTGGTACTGTGGATTTTTCAGCTTTCCTGTTCTTGTAGAGTGACTGATTTTTTTCAATTATCACAATTAAAGACAGTGATTAAAGAACAACACAAACAGCTGGGACTTGAATTATGATAAAAGACATTAAAAATTGCAACTTGAAGATTTAAGCAGTAAAAGTTGAACATTCATGTAGATTTATCTTCTTTTTTTTTGTTAGGGGATGTTATTTAGGGTGAATAATAATGCTACATTGTATTTCTAATCTTAACCTAACATAAAAGTAAAAGTCATCTAGTACTTCTTTCTTCACTTCAAAACCACATTTCAAAAAAGATCTTTGAACTTATCTTTTGTACTCAAAGTATTCAATTACATATATACACATTATCAAAATGTTTTTCATATATATATCTAAAATCATGTTGCGTTGGCTCTTGTCCTTGTGTTGAAGACAGTTTTCAGGATGTTCACACAAGAATTTCAATTGACTATAGCCTCTCCCATATGAAACAAAATTCTTGTCATTGCTTTGTCTATACAGTTGCATGTGATTTGGCATGATGTAAAAACACAATAAGATATTACATCCTGCCTATGTCTTAATAATTTCATTTACGAAAAAGTTTCACTTTCCAGTTGAAAGAGGTGATTCAATAATACAAATGGTCTGAGGTACAGTATCATTGCCATTTCTTTTTAAAACCTCCGAGGGAGAGCACTCTTTTTCTTGATCACTTTTTGAGCTTGTGAATGTCACAGGTTTCAAGGATGTATCAGATGGCGTTGTCACAATTTGACAATCAGAATCCTCACTCAGCTCCAAGACCTCTTCGTCCGAGTCAGAAACTATAATTGGATTATCATGAGCATTAACTACACTACTTGACGTTCCAGCATCATCCTCTGTTGCATTAAGACCATTAGATGTTGCCGCCTGAGGGTCCTCAGGGCTTCCAGAACTTGTGCTTTCACCTTCTGTCTCCACAGCAGGCATGGGGAACTTTTTCGTTACATGAGACATTGTGCCATCTACACCTTCCCACACATTTTTTGTAAGATTAGTGTTTTCCTTCATGGAAGCAGTCAAACCTAACCTTTTCTTCAAATTATAGTTCAACTTTTGAGAGAGCGTTTCACTGGCTTTTGAAAGCTCATCATAATGGTAAGGGAGGAATGATTCCACTAAAGTGCTTTCCTGAGACTTCTCGTTTGAAGTTGACTCTTTTCTGTGATCCATACTACAGTATAGTCTCTGGAATTCAACAAAAAAAGAAGTTTTTAAAAGTTTGAAATTAAGCATACATGTACACATATAGGCTCTAATCATATTCCAATCACCATCCAAAACATTACTCAAAATAGCTATACATAAATGTTTAAACAGAATCTCATCTCAGATTTTTGTTTTTTCCATTCTTTGTATTTAATTCCTAAATTAAATTTTTGGTTTAAGTAAAATACATAAAAATTCAAAACATGCACAACTTGAACAAGTTTCCCACTATAATGATGGTAAGAAAAGGCAATATATACTTGAATGGAGTCCACTTCAACAAAAACCTGCAGAAGCGCCAGGCTTTAATCAGTTTAGCCTGGTTTTTGGTTCAGAAAGGTTTGCTCAAATGGGGAGAAAAAATCGGGATTTTATTTTCAGTTAGGTTTACATTTACCGTACTGTTTTGTTTTTGCATAAGCTGTGTTCAGTTAAAGTTTAAGTGGACTCCACTGTACAATGCCAATAATCAGAGGAGAAGAGATGATGATAAATGCAGAATTGCAACTGCTGACTAGCCAAAAGCATTTATTGATTTGTAGGACACGCTCCTCAAATAATGACAAACTTGAACAAGATAACACGATAGACAATGCTTTTACCTGTATTTTAAATAAACAAGGTTTTTTTTAAAAATAACCAAAGAAATTACATATGTGTCAACCGAGACTATGTACTTAAATGGAGGTTTTTATTGAAACGAGTTTTTCTCAAATTAGAGGATCACTTGGACTGAACCATAGAGGTGACCTGATAGAACCAGAGAGACAATGGTTCTTCTCAACAACCTACCCCCCCCCCCCCCCCCCCCCCCCCCCCCGGGTCAAGCCTGTGACCCATGGCATCTGAGCTCAGGTCCTGAGCATTGACTGCTAAATACCCCGCTGTGTGGTGTAATTCAGAGGAAGAATAAAAGGTGTTTCAACAAACAAAGTGACGCATAAGTGGGGGAAGGATCCAATGCATATATGGCATGGACCATAAGGTCAGGATTACAAAGCTCTGAAATTATTATTCACCGAGCGAGATCAGTGTGGAGTGTGTGGAGAAAGGCATTTATGACATTGTGGTTATAAGCTCTCTGCTGTTGTTGCACACAGAAGAGGTAAAAGTGTGATTCCCATGGAAGCTTTTTCTCTGTGTATCTCCATTCTCTGTTGAGACGCAGTATACAGTCAAAGTACCATGACATTCAGGGTTCAATAAAGCAGCCTGCCTCCAAAATGATCTACACTGCACTGCAGTGTCGAAAGGGGCATTAAACTTTTAAAGTTACAGCTGGTGGGGTGAAAATGGAGATACTCCATGAAATCTGGACTTTTGAAAGTTATTGATTTCTTCCTGTCCTTTCCTAACAACCGCCCTGCCCCCCTTAATTCCAGCCACCAAATGCATTATATTGCATTCATGCACCATGCGTGCTTCTTTGGTCTTGTCTTATGTGTGCCATGTGGGCATGTGTGATATATGAATGTGGGTAAAGATGGTAATTTCAGTGGGCCTATACTTACCTAGATCTACATATCTAATCTAATCTAGATCTGTATCTAAGTTTTATGATTTGAAAGAAAGCAGCTTTGATTAGCAGTTGTCGGTCAGTAGTCTTAAGTTCAGTTACGTTACAGCTTACAGATCTAATCTAGATCTAGATTCTATCTCTAAGATCTCATGTGGCGTCGGTGGCCTAGTGGTATAGGCTCTCGGACTCGCAACCGTAAGGTCGTGGGTTCGAATCCTGTCTGGGGCCCGATGTTGTGTCCTTGGGAATGGCACTTTACACGAATTTTCCTCACTTCACCCAGGTGGAAATTACCCGGAATGGGTACCCGGCAATAGACAGCAAAAGATCTTTGTCAGTTTGTTAGTGTTTGAGCACTTAATCAGCTGCTTGCACTGTATGCTTCCCGGGAAGCTGAGAATGTTTCGGAGTATTCTATGGTCTGCTGGGGTAATAATAAAGTGTAAAGCGCATGGAGCCTGCTGTTGAGCGGGGAAGCGCTATAGAATGCTAGATTCTAGATTCTATATATATTATTAAAACTATTAGATCTACTTAATTAGGCTATAAAAAGAAGGTTTGCAGTTGACTTTGTTCTTTAGAACGTCATTTCGAAATAAAAACAAACTTACGGGCGCCTACAGGCTAATAATAGTCATACATACTGTTTAGTGGTCACAAATGCATCGCAATAAATCTGGCAGTAGACACAAGACAGGAGGGTGAACGTTTAAAGAAACCGAAAGTAAAACTTGCCAGTGTGCCAACAGAAATATTATATTGCCAGAATGGCTTAGTTTTTGCCTTGGCTGAAACTGGAAGGTTCTTGTTCCTTTTCATACCAAGTGTCTTACCGCGGATTTTCAATCAAATTTTATGATGATTGAGAATATTCTTTCTAATAGAATCTCTCTCTAAATATATATATATGAGTAGATGAGCTTTTAAGATATAATCCTTTTAAGCTGTATTCTTTCGTTCTGCTCCTGCTTGATGCCATTATAAAAAGTATGATCTGGAATCCGGTGTTTCGTCAGAAACGAAATGTGACCTTAGCTTCACGATGGCTCCTTTTCCCCTTGTAAAGTTAGGCTATTTGGCTTTGAAACAAATCAGCAAACCGATAGCTAATTACATAAAAAGACGAGCGAAAGCGAACCCGTTCTTCAGAAGATACATATGTATGCCGCCCGCTCAGAGTAAGTATTTTAACCTATGATAGAGACAAAACTGACGTTTGCCTGGTCTTGCTGCGTGGTACAGTCTCAGACTTCGGCGGAGCCCGGTGTCGATACACAACACAACACTCGTACACTAGACTCTAGATCTAGCAATCTAGATCTAGATCTAGATCTATTCTAATGTAATCGTGTGTACACTCATAGTATAACACAGGCCCTAGCCCTAGTTAGTTGTTAATCATATACAGTACCTCCAAAGAACACTCTCCGGCGATTTTGTAGTTGTCCCCCTGACCTAACAAAAATATGGAGGGGGGGGGGGTTCAGATGTTATTATTTATATATAAAAGACAATAAAACCCTATTTTTTCTGTGTAAATCTAGGCTAGTTAGATCTATAGACCAACTGGAATTTTGGAAGGACTTCCATAACGAGCGACCACTATGAGACAGAGCAGAATTGAGGGCTAGGGGTCGGGGTAGGGTTATGGTTAGGGTTTGATCTAGATTTAGGCCTCTTCTTTATTGTTTTTGATGGGGTGGTCGCTCGTTACGGAGTCCTTCCGGAATTTTTGCAGGATAATTGACCCCTCTATCATCCTAGATCTAGATCTACCCCATCCGTAACCGTTACCTCTACACTCTACACTACACTAAGATTCTACCCCCACCCCCCCCCCCCACCCCTACACCTACGGGTAGCCTATAAATGATCTTTTTCGAGATACAACAAATAACAACTGATAACAACTGAACAACAAATAACAACTGATAACAGCAAATAACAACAGACAACAACAAATATCAACTCTGACTCAAACGTCCTTATTTAGGGGTTGTAAAACTAAATTGTTACTTTCTATTGCGGTGTTTATCTTTGTCGAGATAATAAAAAACAACTGTATAACAATAAAATAATGACAAATATCAACAATATCAATTGTTATTTGTTGTTATCAGTTGTTGTTATCTAGACAAAGATTAATCACTGTCGAGATTATAACACCAAATAACAACTGAAAACAACTGACTACCTATTAAAAACCAAGTAAAAATCTAAATTAGGACGTTTGTGTTGATATTTGTCCTTATTCTATTGTTAACAGTTGTTATAATTTGTTGTTATCAGTTGTTATTTGTTCTTATCGTCGACAAAGATAAAGTTGTTATAATTTGTTGTTATTTTGTCGAGATATACATAACAGCTGATAACACAAAAATGCTTTGATTCCAGCCTCAAAAATATATTCATATGGTCAACCAGCTATGTGCACAACTCCGAGCAACTACCAGAAGTAGAATATTCTTTAGCGATGACCGGAGTTGCGTCCCTTTTTTTTTTGGTTTACATTCAAATCGAAAGTAACAATTTATCAGAAAAAAACCTACTAAATTAGGACGTTTGTGTTGATATTTGTTATTGTCTGTTGTTATTTTGCTGTTATCTTATTTGTTGTTATCAGTTGTTATCTGTTTTTATCAGTTGTTATTTTTTATCTTGACAAAGATAAATACCGTTACTTTCGATTTGAATGTAAGCCAAAAAAAAGGGACGCAACTCCGACCATCGCTAAAGAATATTTCTAATTCTGGTAGTTGCTCGGAGTTGTTCACGTAAAGTAGAGGGCTGGTTGACTACATGAATAATATTGATTTTTGAGGCTGGAGTCAAAGTATTTTTGTTGAACATTAGTTTTGTTATTTGTTATCAGTTGTCAGGACGTGTTGATATTTGTTGCCATGTTGTTCGATGTCTGTTATTTGCTGGTATCAGTTCTTATTTGTTGTTATCTGTTGTTATCTCGACAAAGATATACCAGGGGGGGGCTCTCGTGGCCTAGAGGTTAAGGTGTTGGCCTCTCATTCAAAGGTCCCGGGTTTGAATCCGGGTAGCGACCGAAAAATATTTTTCTCTAAAAAATTGTCTCCTTTCACCTCCTTTCCTGCTCTCTAGCAATGTTCTGTTGTCTGCTTTCGTTTCCTCTTTCTGCCCCCATCCCCTCACCACCTTTGCCCCCTCCTCTGGGCTCCTGACTCTTTCTGCAGCCTTTCTACTGCTACTCCTTGGCTCCTCCTAACTGCTGTCTTTCTTCCACACCCCTGATCTTCTGGTAGGAAAGATCTACACCTAGCCTTCTCGGACAAGGGCGAAAAATCTCGGATGGCCTGTGTGCAAGTTGCGCACGTTAAAGATCCCTTGGTGGTCTAAAATCGATAAGAGTAGGCTTTGGCCGCCACCCTGGCAAAAATTCAAAATTTCCTACCAACTGAAAATATTAGGTGTGTCCCGCGCGCTCATATGACCTTATGCAGTTGCGAGCGCCGTAAAAACACTTACCAAAACAAACAAACAAAAGATATACCATACCCCTACAACCCTATTGCCCCCCCCCCTAAATAAGTTAGATGTTGTCTCGATATATTCATTATTCCTAGGGCCTTAACACCAATGGGACCGGCCTCACACTTGAGTTTTAATTCCCCTGGACCAGTCATTTAAATTGAGTAGGTGTAATTGTTTTGTAGACTTACCACAGTCGAACCTGCCTTAAACTTCACCAGTCATATTAGGTTGAAAACAACCCAGAGGGTCCAAGAATTGCTCAGTCATGCCCGGTCAGTCAAACATGATGCCACTGACCTCAGCCCCTAATGTAATCTAAATTTAATATCATGTCTTACAGCAACATTCTATGGCCAATATAAATTTCATTGGTTTCAAAGCTTTACTGTTTGTGGCATTTCAAACTTTCTATTTCCTCCAAGTACGTCATGGGTCTTTTTCGACCCATATAATGTAATATAGGAGAATACATCATAGGTGGCTTTGGACGCATATAATGTACAGAAAAATATGCAGTGCGTTGTTTCTGAAGCAGTGAAAATGGTTTTCGACCCCACTGTAGAACTTCCCAAAGATCTCTAGCAGACTGGACCTTGAGTTACTTTACTGTCATGGCATGATAAATATGAGTGATCGATGTATACTAAATTATTTCAAAGCTCCTGTATGTGTGAGTGTTCGTGCGTGTGTATGTGTGTGTGTTTTCGGTGACGAGTAGTGTGTGTGTACTGTAGGGATGCTTTGGTGTGATTGTGTGTGTGTGTGTTCGGTGACAAGGTGTGTGCATGTGTAGGGATGCGTTGGTGTGAATGTGTGTGTGTATTTGAGTGTGTGTGTGTTTGGTGACAAGGTGTGTGTGTGTGTAGGGATGCATGTCTGTTAATGTATGAATGTGTGTGGATGGTGTGTGTATGTGTTCGGTAACAAGGTGTGTTTGTGTGTGTTAGGAGACAAGGTGGGTGCCCATACTGCTGTTGCAGTAGAAAAACTCATTATAACATGTACACCTTTGATGGCAACCGAGTCAGTTGCAATGGAAGCAGTAGAAAGTGGGTGGGTAGAGTTAGAGGATGTGTGACTGGGTAGCCGATGAGATGGTAAAACGTTTATTAGCAATTCAGCAATGTCATTTGCTCTGTGTTGTACTGGGCTTCCATTTATAGAGGAATGATAAATTTTTGTCAATAGATTTGTGAATTTCAAAGCTGTGGTAAGAACTTTTCTTAATGGAACATAGGCCATTGTTGCATCTGTAGTGGGAGGACCCCTCAATTGAGCTCTCATCTTCTGAGCAAATTTAGCCTTGGTTGGAGTGACTGTCCACTGTAGAATATGGTGCCTTCCGGACACCCTGAATCCGAAGGAGTAAGACTTGTTCGGACAAGAGGTCTTGTTTATTGTGAGAATTGGGATGAAGATTTTTGACCTGGGATGTGATTTTCCTTCCTGGCTTCAGTCCTCATAAAGATAAAAAATCATGAGATACTGTACAAGGGAAATCTTTCTCATTCTCTACTTTATGACTGATGAGTTTGTTTTATCAAAACTTTTTGGTTTTTCATATTTAAGTTCTTCAGATACTTAGTTGATCCACTTATCTGAAGGTTGATGATGGGTGTTGTGCTTTTATTTTTACCTCATTTTTTCCCCCAAAGTGACTTACATACAGAGAGATAAATAATATCAGATTTTGGATATTTTGGAGATTTATTTTAGATTTATCTGAGTATTATGCTTTTCCAGAAGCCTGCTTATTTACTGCTCACTCTACATTGTTGTTTTCACAGTTTACAACTGGGCTGAAATCAACATCCGGCTTAGAATGGTTGGACTGGGGAGTGCGAAGAATGTGGAGCCCCTCAGTGAAAAGGAAGCCATCGAACTTGGTGGTGAAATGCTGGGTGAATTCATCGTGTTCTCATTTGCGGCTATTTTACTTCTCTCAGAATATGCCAGATCTTCTCGAAAGGAGCAGTTGAATCAAGAAAAGGCAAAACAAGAAGGCTTAAGACTTAACGCCAAATTACAAGAGATGGGAATTGTTTCAGAAATTCAGGAAGCCCAGATAAGGGAACTTCAGCGACGAGTAGATGTGTTGTCTATAGAGAAAGAGAAGAACCGTGGTGTTGTCAACAAATTGTTTGGATCAAAGCAGTCATAGCATTTCTCTTTCATGGACATTGCTTGTTGTGATAGTTTCATGTGCATGTTTTTACCAGTGTCTTTGTGATTTATTGAGGATCATGACTGAATGATGAGAGCTTTCCTGGAGCCAGAAATGAAATGAGAATTATCTTCATCATTCTTGCTCTGCATTCACCAAAGTCAGTGGAGTCTTTTTTTGAACAGATTAGTCTTTATAGACATAGCCTTGTTGTGTTTTAACCTTAAGCACTTGAAATAAAGTGTGAAAGTAAAGAAATGTATGCTTTCTGTACTGATTTACTGAGAAAGTTATTCAGTCTATTTTCTGAAAGGGAAAGAAGATCATTTCAAGATTTAAATGTTTATGAATATTGTGGAATGAGAAATACGACCTATTGTCTTACAGTTTCTGTTCTGATAATAACGATATGTGTCACGGCGTGGTGGAACCAGGCGCTCGTCAATTTTGGGGCATATGTGGATTTATTGGTATCATCTCAAGGCCATCTGCTGGTGACATTTCTAAAATTCATATCCCTTGACTATATATAGCAACAATGATATATTTATATTAGTCAGACATCAAAGAATAAATGCAAGTGAATATTTATTATTATAAGCACATGGTATCCAAGCAAACATCCACCATATTGGATAATTTAATCAAATTTCAAAAGCTATTCTCTCTTAGTTTTCGTCCGTTGGCTTTCATTTCTAGCAATCACAAACTACAACGCCTATGTAATGAACAAATAACGCCTGATTTGTAATATTACAATTATGAAAATAATTATGGACACTGGAAATATGTACATGGATAAATAGTTTAAAAATCTAAAAATTCCCAACAAACGCACTGATTGTAATTTTATTCTTTTATTATCTTCAAAGAGGGCTGTATTTCAGTACCTGTCACCTTTGGATGGACAATGTGTAAAATAATGAAGCTATTGAGATAAAAAATAAAGGAGAAGATGTAATTTAAAGTCGAAAAAATAAATATTTGAAAAAAAATTAAGAAAATATTTTAAAAACATGACCCTAAATTGCAAAATATTTTTTTAAAACCCATTTTTATATGACTTTTAAACATAATTGATTGAAGCAGGGGCTTGAAACTTTGAAGGAAATGGATGTAGGTTTCAAAAATGGAGGGGTGGGGATGCATGGTCAAACTGAGGGAAAATCTCACCCACAGATGGCCTTAAAGCCTGTCCATTTGCCTTGCTTTTGATGAAATGAAAGAAATATCCATTTATCTTGGATACAAGTTAAGATGTTGGCGATTGAAGGAGGTGGTGGTCACCTGGTTTTACTAGTTTTAGGGGTAAAATAAGGGAGAAAATGGCCGCCGAAGCTGGGAACCATCCAATGCTTGAGAGTTCTTGGAAACTGAAAATTTACATTTTTTGTGCCTTTAATCAACGTTTTTCAGTAAAATCCACTTAGAAGTTAAATATGTTTTTAAATTGACTTAAAAGCTGTTCTGCTGAAAAACAAAAATTTGAAGAAAAAATGCCAAACAGGTAGAAAAGCGCCCGTATCTTCGATTTCAATATTTTGAGGAGCGCCTGTGTTTACCAGGATGCCTCACATTTAATGACTTTATGGAGAGTGCGTGATCTGACTAAATGTGTGTATCAATTTCTTATGATGGATGATGGAATGAGTGCCTGGTTCTGGTTGAGAGGAAAGAATTAAAACGGGAGGAATGCCCAGGGAAGCTGTGATTGTGAAAGAGCTCCTGAATAGGCCCACTGGTACCTGTATTTCATTAATTCTATCTTTTAATAGTTTGTGTAGTTGGGGTTGTTGTTTTTTTTTTGGGGGGGGGGGTTATTATCTAGAAAATTTGTGCAGTGGATCCCTTTTATACTGGAACACTTCAAGGTTTGTATTTAATTTGTCATCATTAAGCACAGATGAGATTACAAACTAGGTCAAGGGGTAAAAATTTAGTTTCTAAAGCATGGTCGCGTCAACCCCAGGGACCCGAGTGCAAGCATGAGCATATATTCTAACTGTTCCCTTCTGTGCACCAATTGAATTCCTCAGTGTGAACTTTTGCAAATGTTGTTGCTGCCAACCCAAGAAAGTTCGGGTGTACTCGTCCTGTATTGTAAGTTGTAAGGCCCAGGGAACCAAGGCTCAAGGAACCAACTGACCAACGTTATATGTAGATTTTCCAAGTGCTTCTCTTTTTACATGCTGAGGCTTTGCAAGTTAATTTTTTGGGGAAAAGTTTATTTTCTTGGAATTGCCTCAGTGCAATTAGTGGATGTCAACAACAGCACACCCTAACTTTTTTTCATTGTTCAGGCTCTCATGACATGAGGGTGTAGAACCAATCAGGGAGAGTTCAACAGGATTTCATTGTGTTATTGTTGACAAAAAGGTTTATGAACAGTTGAATGGAAATACTTTTGTGTTTAGTTTGGTTGTTGCAGCTCAGTTCAACAACTTCTTGGAGGTCCAAGAGTTGACTCTAAGCCAGTTCTTGCATAAATCCATGACATGTACATGTAATACAGGTGTATATCAAAGTAGGATAAGTATTTCATGTGTTCAGAAAATATACCCTCTTTTTACTCATTGAAATTGAAAAGGCCTGTTTCACCTGTTCTGTTGAAGGTATGGAAAGTAATTTCAGTCAGTGATTTGTGATGGAGCAAACAATATGAAAACTTGCCTTCATTTTCATATCCTGAACAGAAAAATAATCTTTGATGTAACATGCATGTAGATTGCTATCTTTTGCTTCATTTTTAAAAATTTAGATAAAAAGGAGTTAATTGTTTTTACTGCTTCCCTCTTCATATATCGGGAGTTTCTACAGAATTTTTGTTTAAACACTTTTTTAAAAATACAGCTTGGAGTAAAAACAAAAGTGTGTATTCTGTAGTATAAGTCAATCATTTCCTGGGCTACCTTTTTGCTGTCTTTGTTTGTGATTTAGATGTTTTTAGAATGCCATGTCATAATACCCGGTATCCAAGTACATACTTTGAACTTGAACTTGACAAAAGGTTTTTTTAAAACATGTAATACTATCAAAAATGTTTGACCTAATCAAAGAAAGAGTGCGTCTGTGGTTTACTGGTGAGGCTCTTTTCCTCACTGGCAGAAAACATGATTTCAGTACCCACTTGGGGAAGCATGTGAATGAATTTATTTCAGTTTACATAGAGAGTATCCCCATCTTATTCTTGATACATGAATGTATGCCCCTCTCGACCTGGAATGACCATGGATACTTCATGCTGTTCTTGTTTCTGTTAGATGTATTTTTGTATTTTAATCTATTAATAATGCTATTAGTGTCCAAGTGCATTAGTGTGTGTGTGTGTTTATCGTATGCATGCGTATGTGTCATGTGTTCTTGCGTTTTAGTTTGATCATATCATAATGTGTCCGTGAAGTAAGTGTAAGAGATACCGGTAATGAAGTTTTTGTTGACACCATTTTGATCATTTTCATCTTTGCTCTTACTTTTTTCATGAATGATAGTCCAGACGACGCTTCTGGTTTGGTTTTATTACATTCACATCTTAATTAAAATTTGCTTATTAAATGAATCTGACAACAATTCTGTATGGTTCATTTTGTTCTAGTTCTATAGGAAAAAAAGAAATTGTGTAATTCCTGGAATTTTGTTTTGCAGGTTGTAGATATCTACATCTTCTTTTTGCACCAGAAATGATTTTGCAGTCTTGCTGTTACATAAACTGAGCTAAATCTTTCTGTGAGCTCCAACCATTTCTGTCTTTATCCTGAAAGTGAAAGGCGTACAAGTCTTGAACTCGTCAAACATTCTCCAGAGTATATATTAAAATCTAATTTGTGGAATGAGCTGTGACATGGTTTCTACTTATGTGATTAGCTGCTACATGTGTGTAAAATCCACATAACAAGACGGCCACTTACATCTGAATTGGTCCTGGCAAGGTCAATTCTTAAACCATTCCATTCAAAAAGCTTGTTTTCATAACTTTATTTGTCATAGTTTGACTAAATCACTTTATGTTAACTGTTAAGTATACAACCTATATTTTTTGGGTTTGAATGTTTCATTGGGTGGTATTACTATTACTAACAAGGGATAGTTGTTTCTGAATGCTTGCTGGCAGATTTGCACTTTCTAAAATTGTGTCTCGTTGTTCTTTCTTCTGCCTGTCATATCTTCAGCTGCTTTACTTTTAAGTTTATCATGATACATCGACCATCATTGTGTTGGTAAAGTTCTTCTATCTTATTTCAAAATCCTGTTTCCTTTTAACTGAAGCCTCTTGGAATCGCTCTATTCTAAGATTCTTGGTTATGTTTTAGGTCTTTTTCAACTCACTCTGGTCGTAAAGTGAAACTTGCTTTTAGGATCCCTGTAGAGTATGATATTTATTCATTTAGACTGTTTTCGATAGCTGTGAAATATTCAAGTTTGAAAGCTGTGAAGTCTCCCATAAAGAGATCGACCCCAGGACGTCATAGTCAAGAGGCAAATGTCTTCTATGTATGGCATTTATAGCCTCATCCCTTTTTTCACAATACCAGACTATAAAAATGAGGGGTCAAAGTAGTTGCCTTGCAAACATTACTAACATGTAGGCCTACTATTTTTTCATCTTTCATTATGACGCTGGGGAGGATTTTATTTGCCCTAAAACTAGAAATCTTTTTTGGTAGTTTTTACGGCGCTCGCAAATGCATTATAAAGTCATATGACCGCCAAGGGGTTGATGTCAACTCAACAGAGCACTCTTTACTACTGTGTTACAGGGAATCTGGCTTAGATCTACTCTGCTCACCTCTCTAGCTTCAACAGCTCGACAAAGTCTGCTTCGACTATCAAGGCACCCCGGAAACAGAAGGTCGCAAGAGTGTGTCAAATGAACAAAAGAATACAAATGACGATAGTATGGATTAGAAAAGAAAAAGCAGCAGTTGGGGCTGCCCAGTTTGTCACAGGCCCAGTTTGTCACAATTTCATTCAAGTATTTGAGTATTGTAGACAGTCATAATTACGCACTTTATAGCACTGTAGTTATAATCAGTGGCGTCGCGTGGGTTGCAGACAAGGTGGTGCACACTTGGAAAGTGAGCAAATGGGCAAGAGGCTTTCTAGCTACTAATAACTATTAAAATGGTAATGAGCGGTTGGCGGGCGCTCTGGTGTGGTCTGTCCTTGCTATTGCTTTCTACGAGTCTGTATGTGTGTGTGTGTGTGTGTGTGCGCGAGAGAGGGAGAGAGAGACAACAGTTTCAATACTCATTCTTCATTGAGTTACCGACAGACTCTAATGTAGTAGTAGATAGGCTAGCGGAAACTTGGATCTAAATTTTTGCTTGCTCGAAATTGGTGCTGCGAAGAGGAGTTTCATGCACCTTTCTTCTTGTGCGGGAAGAACGATGCCTAGATTTCACGACAGTAACAAAATTACTTTGGTGCAAAGATTTTGCTTGCTCCCAGCAGACACTACCGCAAGCGGTACCACGAGCATAGATTCTAAGCCACCCTTGCTGTCTGTCTCTTCACTGGCGCAGCCAGCGGGTGATGGATCGCAAGGATGGACATGTAGTATGTAATGTAGATCTAGAACACTGACTGGTTTAGAACAATTAGAAGGGGGGGGGGGGGGGTGTAAAGGCCTGGGTTAGGTGGAGCGCTTGCACCAATTGAACCAATGGCGCCTCGTCACTGGTTGTAACTTAAGTTTTTTATTCTTCATCTTCAATTGGCGATGTAGAGATAGTCCCTCTAAAACGTCAATTTAGCTTAGTGTTGTTAAATATTTCTTACTTTTTGAATGCCAATCAAAGCAAATTTAAATATATCTGTAAAATGTTAACAATGAAAGTTCTTTCGTTAAAAACAATTGAAAAATAAAATCCAAGTCATACAATCAATCAATCTTTAATTTACTCTTTTTGAGAGTGTCACTGATAACTTCCATCATGCAGGGCACAGTCGCGAGGCCTGTAACATACTGGCATGCTTCTGCAGCAGTTCCCTATTGCAG